TTTCTGCATCGCAAGTCATCGCGAACGTGGTCTCCATCTTGTCGCGCGTGCTTACCAGCGCCTGCACGCATGCACTAACGAATATCCCACATCACTCTAGTGCTGCGTAGCACGCATATACGAGAAGAACATGATAAGGATCTCGAAGGGGCGAACAGAGTCGACTTAGATAATTGACTCTACGTCTGAATACAGATGGTATAATGATGATATAGTCCTCGTGTAATACACGTAAACGACATAGCTCATACGGGCTAAAACAGCCGGGCTGTTCATAATTAGGTTATATGCAATTCATCCTACCACGAGATGTTGTTGATATGTGCGGATATGAGGCGGTGGTCACAACCCACACTAACGGTGTGACACCATACCGACTGCGAGCTTCATCGTAGATTTGAGCAGCTTATAAATGTCTCACGTCAGCCTCCTCCTCATCTTACTCTCACTGGTCGATTGGGTTGGTGCTCAAATGATGTATACCGGAGGTAAGTCAACTCAGGTTATACTCACAGTTATACCAGTGTCGAGTTGACCACAAAGGCGACAACAGGTGACAGCTTGCCTTCTTTCAGCCACAAGAGATAAGGCTGAGCCGACCCAAGCCTACCAGGAAGAGAATGATATGGACACGAAATCTTTTTTGAGTCGCGGTAAGCGTCTCTGCGATCCGGATGTGAACCAAGTACACGGTTACTACAATGGTAGCGGTGAAAGAAGGTAAGCATTTGAACACCTGCTTCACCACCTATGCGGACTCTCATCAGACTATTCTTCTGGTTGTTCGAGTCCCGTTCTGATCCATCCCAAGATCCTCTCATCCTCTGGCTCAACGGGGGGCCTGGGTGTAGCAGTATGATAGGGCTCTTCTCAGAGAATGGACCCTGCAGACTTAATGAGGATGGAAATGGCACCAAGCTGAACCCGTAAGAAGGACTGTGTGTAAATGATGATGACATGTCCGATTAAGGTATTCTTGGAATACCCGAGCGAACCTCCTCTTCGTTGACCAACCTGCCGGGGCTGGCTTTGCTGAGGGACCGCCCGTCACAAACGGCTCGTTCGGAGCCGCTGACGACTTGTAAGGCGAACAGTGTGTGGGGAGGGAGTATGCACATGTTCAACTACATGTGTTGGTGAGAATGTGAAAATGATGAGGAAATTTTCGGGGAATTACTGTTGGTTTTCGTACACTTCTACTTGAATTTGTATGTAAACTTCTATAGTAAGTGATGGAATTTCGAGCTCAGCTGAGGAAAG